GTGTAGTTATTATTCAGGTCCAACTGCAACATTCCGCTTACCTCTAATTGGTGACCTTTTATTTAAACTCAATCCTGGTCCCATTACACCCGTGCTTAACTCTATCCCAGTAATTGTTTCTTCGCGAAAGTACAATACGAACAGATCATGTGTACATCGGTGTACCGGGAATATTATTAATGTGGCTCGTTTGCCTTATTTACCAGTGAATTATTATCATGAGAACTCATTGTTATTATGCGTCTTGAACGCGCGATCTGTGAGGAACAAAACAGCGGCTATTATGGATTACATACGCGACAGCAATGTGGACCTGTGTGCAATCACTGAAACTTGGTTGACTCCAGATGACGCAGCGGTAAGGGCAGAACTTTGTCCTAATGGATTCAAGTTTCTAGACAACCCTCGCACTGGCCGCCGTGGTGGCGGGATTGGGTTGCTTTACCGCGACTCTTTGCAGGTCAAAACAATCAACTCGGGAGAGAAGAGCTCGTTTGAATTCTCTGAGTGCATTGTGACATCATCATCCTCTCGCGATCTACGAGTTGTCAATATTTACCGCCCCCCATATTCTGGTGAGCACAACGTTACCACCTCAGTATTTTTTACGGAGTTTGCGAACTATATTGAAGCCTTCCTGTTATGTAAAGAGCAGTTGATAATTACGGGGGATTTCAACATACATATCGATTCCCCTGAACAACCGGATGCACGGACGTTCCTCGACCTCTTAGATTCTTTCGGTCTTAAACAGAATGTTATGCAACCTACTCATATCAGCGGACACACCTTGGTCCTACTTATTACTCGCATATCAGAAGATATTATAAAGGACCCTCCTGTTGTTGATCGCTTTATATCAGACCATGCTTCAATTCTGTGCAATCTGCAGCAAGCAAAACCAGCTCTAACTATAGTGTCGAGAATCTACAGGAAGATTAAATCTGTGAATCTGGCATCACTCGAGGCAGATTTAGGTATGTCTGGATTATGTAGGGATTTACTCGAAGAATATGATCTTGATGAACTTGTTCGGAAATACGATAACGTACTTTCTGATGTTACAGAACGTCACGCCTCCTTTGAAGACCAAGAGAATGGTGGCGAGACCTGCTGTTCCCTGGTACAACGAGGAGATTGATATTGCTAAACGGTTACGACGAAAAGCCGAAAGGAAGTGGAGGAGAAGCAAATCGGTCGTTGACTTTACTCACTTTAAACAGAAGAGAAACCAGGTGACGTACATCATGAATCAGGCCAGACGGAAATTCTACGCCGATTTTATTGAAGAGAATAGGGCAGAGCAGGGACAATTATTTAAGGCCGCCAAAAAACTTCTGGGAAAAAAAGAGGAACTATCTTTTCCAGATCATTTTGAAAAAGTGTCCTTGGCCACTGACATCGGCAGATTTTTTGTAAGGAAAATTGGGAATATACGCTCAGACATTAACGCGGTCCAATTCGATTTTGATGTAGTACCCAAGGATCTGGTGCTAAACGAAACTCAGACATTCGGTGATTTTCAGCAACTCACTGAGGAGGATGTAACAGCGCTAGTACAAAAGTCAGGGAAAAAATCATGTGCACTTGATCCCATGCCTACCGGATTAGTAGTCAAGTGCCTTGGAACACTTCTACCTGTATTAACTCGCATAATTAATTTATCTCTTGCATCTGGGAAATTTTCTGAAGAGTGGAAGGAAGCACTTGTGGTTCCATTGTTAAAACACCAGGGGTTGAATCTGGAATTCTGCAATCTTCGCCCAATTAGTAACCTTCAGTATGTATCGAAGTTGATAGAACGAGCTGTTTTCGAGCAGATGAATAACCACATGATGCAGTTTGGACTTTATCCTGTTTTACAATCAGCATATCGCAAGGGACACAGCACGGAGACCATTCTCCTCAAGATACAGAATGATATTCTTCTCAATATGGATAAACAGAACGTAACCTTGTTGGTGTTCCTGGATTTGAGCGCCGCATTTGACACTGTGGACCATGACATCCTTATTTCACGCTTGCAGTCTAGTTTTGGGATTAAAGGAAATGTCTTGAACTGGTTTTCATCATACCTATCAAACAGAACACAACGCGTGACTCTTAGCGGTTGTGTTTCGGACAGTTTCTCCCTGGAACAAGGTATTCCACAAGGTTCTTGCTTAGGACCGTTGCTATTTACAATATACGCTAGTAAGTTGTTTCAGATCATAAAAACTCATCTTCCGGATGTTCACGCGTACGCAGACGACTCACAGCTATACCTTGCATTTAAGCCAGACAGCGAATTGAATCAGGATGCGGCAGTAGAATCAATGGAACTTTGTGTAAAGGATATCAGAACGTGGATGATTGCTGACAAACTGAAGATGAATGACGAAAAAACGGAGTTTATGATAATCGGAACTAAACCACAATTAGAGAAAGTCAACATTGATCATCTGATGGTTGGTTCTTCAAGGGTGTCTCCTGTGCCTATCGTAAAAAATCTTGGGACGTGGTTCGACTCGAACTTAAATTTGAGAGAACATATCAATAAAACTTGTAGGGCTGCACATTTTCAACTTCATGACATCAGACATATTCGACAGTATCTATCTGACGCAGCAACAAAAACCTTAATTCATGCGTTTATCATTGGGCGCATAGACTATTGCAACAGCCTCTTGTATGGTTTACCATCCGTCCATCTAAACAAACTACAGCGTGTACAGAACTCTGCTGCCAGACTAATTTGCAATATTTCCAGATACGAACATATAACACCTGTACTGTATACTTTACATTGGCTACCTGTTCAGTATCGAGTCAATTTTAAAGTTCTTATTCTCGCCTTTAAGGCAATTCACGGACTTGCTCCTGTTTATATAAGTGATCTGATATGTATCAGAGACAAGTCATCTTATAGTCTTAGATCAAATAATACAGGTTTACTGCTTGCACAGCCAAGTGCTAGATTCAAGAAGACATTGGGAGACAGATCATTTACATCTGCTGCCCCAAAACTGTGGAACATGTTACCATGTCACATTAGAAATACGGACAGTTTTAACAGTTTTAAAAAGAGTTTAAAGACACATTTATTTAGATTAGCTTTTGATATAAATACATAGATAGGTATACTTTAATTTTAACTATTTTAATACTTTATTGTACAGCGCATTTGATCATATACAAATGCTAATTTGCGCTATATGAATTGTAATTATTATTATTATTATTATTATTATTATTATTATATGATACTTCCAGGTAAGTGTACTATCAATTATTACCCCCAGGTATTTGATAAATTCTTTGCACTCAATCTCAGTTAGTTTATTTGTGTTGTTGTTAAACATTTTTATGCTGACTTGGAAATTAAGCTTTTTTTATATGGACGAAAAATAACGTAATTCGATTTTTTTAAATTGAGTGTTAATTTATTCGCATTTAGCCATTCGCAAACTGCCACTAATTCTTTGTTGACAACTGTTTGAAGAGATTTTAGATTTTTATTTGCGTATAATAAATTTGTGTCGTCGGCAAACAGATAGAATTTGATCACTTTGGATGATATATGAATATCATTTATATAAATTAGGAAAAGTAAAGGCCTAAGGACTGAGCCTTGCGGATCACCAAATCTTGTGATTTTTTTCGATGATATATTTTCTTAAATTTGGATTGTTTGCATTCGTTCTGTTAAATATGACTTAAACCAGTTATTAATAACACCGCGAATGCCGTAATGCTGTAATTTGTGTAAAAGTATAGTGTGGTCAACAGTATCAAATGCTTTCTTTAGGTCAATAAATATACCATGCACACGAGAACAATTTTTTGTCAATGTTATTTTGTATGTTATTAACGATGTCAATAATGGCATGTTGTGTGGAATGTTTTGCTCGAAAACCATATTGTTTTTCATAACAGGTCTCGTTTTTATCAAAAAATAGTTTAAGTCGTTTAAACATTAATTTTTCAAACAATTTTAGAGAGCAGCGAGATTGGTCTATAGTTTCCTGGGTCAGTTTCATCATTAGTTTTATAAATTGGAACAACTATGGCACGCTTTAGTTTTGAAGGAAATACTCCTGTTTGAATTGAAAGATTTATTATTTCAGCTAGTGGCCAAGATATTTGCTGTTTTATACATTTTACGATGCGTATAGGACACGAGTAAAGTCCATCTGCTTTATTACAAGGCATTGAAGTAAATTCAAATTCAACCTCAGAAGGGATAACAGGGCTATAAAAGAACGAATTGAGATAATTGTGGCTATTAAGATGTTGACTAAAATGTGTGTTTGAATTGGGTAATTTAGAAGCTAATTTCCTACCAATAGTTGAAAAATGTTTGTTTAGAATGTCAGGAATATCTTTGGGATTCTTGATCATTTCCTTTTTAATTGGGCATCTTAACGCTGTGATCGTTTTATGGTTCTTTCTCTTGCGATTTATCAGGTTGTTTATACCCTCGCACGTTTTTCTCATGTTTGTAAGATTGTTATTGAAATATTCGTGGAAATAAGATTTTTTGCTAATTCGTGTTAAGATTGTTATTTTGTTTCGATATAATTTGTACTTGTTTTTGTCCGCATAATGATATAATTTGTTTTATATTTTAATTATTCCTTTAGTTATCCATGGTTTAGAACATTGCTTAATCATTCGTTTAGAAATAAGTTTTAATGGGGAATATTTGTTTGTTAAATTATTTATACTTTATCGTAAAAAATGGTGAATAGTTTATCTATTTGTCCCTTTTATTCGCGATTATAGAATTCCAATTAATTTGTGCTAAATCAGCATTCAAACCGGACTCTGAGAAATGAGAGAAATCACGAATTTTTTTCTGATGTTTTTGCCATTTGTCTGGTTGATTGATGCAGAACTGTGAAAAGTGGTCGCTAATATCTGACCCAATATTCCCGCTTACGATTGAATTTTCAATTTTATTGTCAAAAATATTCTCAATTAAAGTTGCTGAATTGCTATACACCCTAGTGGGCTTGTCAATTGTTGGTGTTAAAGCATAACTTTGAAGGGTAAATAAGAAATTTTGAGTATATTGGCAAGTTTGAGCCTTGAGGAGGTTTATGTTGAAATCACCCATTACACATATAGGTTTGTTTGATCCTCAAGCGCTAAATTTATCTAGAGTGTTTTCAAAATATGCTTGAAAGCTTTCGGGAGAATTATGTTGCCTATACACTACTCCACATATAATGTTTGGTTTGTTCTTAAAGTGAATTTCAACCCAAAGATCTTGAAAAGCTTTATTAGAAATTTTTTCTAAAACTGTGCAACTCAAGTCATCTCTAATGTACATTCCCGCACCATCCGATGCCAGCAGTGTTGGAACAAATTCAAATTTATAGTTAACTATCTCAGGATTCAAGTCACTGAATTTCTCATCCCTGATTTTAGTTTCAGTAATTCCTATTACACTAAAGTTGAAATCAAGTTCTTGTAATAAATGGGTTTGAAAATTTTCCAAGTTGCGTTTCAAGCTACTCACGTTGTTATGTAACATCGAGAAACTGGTATCTGTAATACGATTTGACTGTGATTTCTTAAGACTGTTGAATTTATTGGTGAATAATATTGAGATCGTAAAATCTGTTGATTTAAATTTACATCGGGATTCGCATCGGCTGTGTTCAAATCAAATATAATAAGCCCAGGTCACACATACTAAGATAATTATCAAGGTCTTTTATAGTGGTGAAGCTTGTAGTTAAGCTATTTTGGGGGCTAAAAACTTGACTTAGGACTAAATTATTAACATTATAAAATGGCAGTTCACGTAATAATGACTTGGACAGTTGAATATTTGTTTTATCGTTCCCATGCATCTTTAGTTAGGCTATTATAGTAT